CTACTCCCAAATGCTTGCCAAGAACTTTTTTCCCCAACTACTCAGTTCGTCTAATAAAAGATATCACATCTACCAAAAGAACCCTGTCTGCCAAGATATTCAAAGTATTTAATTGGGTAGACTATTCTCTGCCAATATACGAGGGTTCTTGCTACATCTGTTTGGGCTCACATATATACCTAAGTGACATCAATATAAATTAAGTAAGAAAGGATGCTTAAGAGACATTGATGATGGCAACATATAGAAAACAATTCTATTTTCTGACAGTTTAGTGTTGAAATGGCCCAATAAAATAATTCGTAGAACTAGTATGGAACGTAAACATGCTAAAGTTTGCTCTGCATCTCCCAACCTTCCCATGTGACCAAAGAACCAAGGTAAGACCACAAGGAAACTAATAAAAAAAATACAGTTCTAAGACTACTTCAAAGAGGAAGCTTGTTTGTTATCCTCTTATTAGAGAATACTCTTAACAACACATGCCAGCTAACATTCACAAATGAGCTGTGGATGACAGATGTGCTGCATTATGTGGAATAATACCATAACAACATTTTAATTAAAGAATACTTAATAAGCTACAATATAAACAGGGAGGGACCTGTGATTAAGGTGGCCTGCGTTCAATTCCTGGCTCTACTACTGACTTTCAGTGAATCTTGAGCAAGTCATTTAATAGTAAATGTAACTGACATAACTATTTAGAGGGTAAATTAGCGATTGTGAAGTGCTCAGATACTACAATGACAGGGCAATGTAAAGAGAGAGGAAGCATAATACAAACTTTTCTGCTTACATACAAAGTCTAGAGCCCTAAACTGAAACCTTTCATAAAGAGTCTGTTAGAACACCAGAAAGTCCTCAAAATTTGTTTTCTGAGGAAGCATGTCTTTAGAATCGAACTAGGACACCTCTTACATGGTGTTAGAAACTGGAGGATCACATTTAAATCAAGTTTACAGCCCCATAAAATCAGCATTTCTTCCAAATCCACTAGGTTTTGGCAATAAAAAAAGAACAGATAAAAGAAGTTGTTATTAAATACAGGAGTTAACATTCAATAAAGAGAATTGATGGTTTCAGATCAAATGTTAACTGATTTCTGAATTTTACTGCTGAGCCTCTCTTTCTCAACTTGTTACACTGAACATTACAAGCTGAGTGCATGGGACCAGAAAACAAGTCAACTGAAAATGTTCAGTTGACACTAGTGACCAAGCTCCAGTCACCTTGATCTTGTATCAGCTTCTCCCCTACCTGCTATGTGAGCTGCGTAGACCCTCCAGTTTCCCCTCCCACCTCCACCATGTTGTCTCTCCTAGCACGTGGGCTCCTCTGCCAGGCAGGCTGCACAGCTCCACCCGCAGGGGCAGGGACAGGAAACAGAAGCTGGAGGAAGGAGTAGGAGCCCAAAGACCCCAGGCAACAGCAGCAGGAGTGGTGGTGGGAGTGGTAACTGAGTGGAAGCAGTAGCTGAGTGGGAGCCTGCATGCAGCAAGTTAACCCCTTATAGGCTGCATGTGGACCTACAGGCCACAAGTTGGAAAGCCTTGCTCCAAAGCTATTCTCTCCCCCCTTCCCCAATATTTATGCTGAAATTTTAAGAAGTTCAGTGATCAGACTAATTTTATAATATAACCTCTAGTACATATAAAAAGACTGGAGACAGTAAACCTAACCTTGATGGGCAATGTATGAATAGAATAAAAGATATCAAAACTAGTACATAATTAAGCCAAAGATGAAGAAAAACATATGGTAAAAAGCAGATGTCAGTGATCAACTTAAACTTATATATTTAAAAATTATGTAAGAGTGGTCTCTTGCTATGTAAGACTGTGAGCATTCAGGAAAAAATGTAGGAAAAACATTTAAACTGAGGCACACCCATATTTTGCCAAAAAAAATCATTTTTCCTAAGGTGCCACTCCTGTATACATGGGAACAATCTTCACTCAGAGCTAAACATGTGAATAATGTGACCTCACACACTTAGAAGTTTAGAGGCCCAAAACTTTAAATAAACAAAGCTTCCAATATAGCCTAGAACTGCTAAGGAAGTCAAAATAGTGCTGCCATTAAAAATAAGAAAGAGTTCAGTACCTAAATTAGTTAAGTAGGATGGCCAATCCATTAGTTTGTGCACAAATATACTCTAGATCCCAGCATCCCTAAAATGCAAGTTTGGTTCCGAATTACCCAAGACCCAGCCCAAATGTTCCTGCAGCACCAGATGTCATGTTGGATCAGCTGAAAAGCATGCCAATTAGCCTAGACCTAGCACTGTGTGAATACAATTGTTCTGCTTCCTGTTTAGGAGGCAGCCATTAGTTCAAGAGACAGTTAGCCTGCCTGCCTGCTGTACTGCACTAAGCCAGAGACACTAACTTGAACTGTGACCCTGGACACACTCCGTAAATAACTTTTTTCTTATATCCAGTCTGAATCAGCCTTCCTGGAGTTTCTGGCCATTAGACCTTGTTATCCCTTGGGGAGCTGTGGTGAACAGG